CAGTACCTAGAATAGGCTCTGGCATACTGTGGCTGCTCAATTTGCTGTATTAAAAATGAATGGAATCCTTAACTGATTCCTTAGAAAGCCACACACAATTCTGCACTCTAATTAGTGACTTCAACCTGCTCTCTTTTCATGCTTCTTACTTCATTTTCATTAAGTTATTGAAAACCAATTAATGAAATTGGCTTTACTCTCATTACTGATAAACCTACCATATTCTAGTCTTCATTTTTCTTAACCAAGCATCCCTTCAGCACAATTGTGATATTTAAACTGGTTGTTACCAAAATAATTGAACACCACTAGATTGTGAGGGAAAGCTGAGTATTCTCTCTCAAAAACAGAATCTAACACACTTGTATCAAAGGTATGAGGCTAACATGACTAATGGTCGTTGGCTTAGCTCTAGTACTCATGAAAAAAGGTAAATTATAACATTTATCTAACCTGTGCCTTAACCTGAGATGAATAGCATTAAAGCCCTTGTTACCAAACTCTTCCATGAAAGCTAAAAAAGGGGACCTACTAAAGCTCGCAAACTAGAGCTGGCCTCTTCATCTTTTTGGGAGTAATCTGTATTTCAATAAGTCACAAGAGTCCATGTGGGAAGCTTTTTTAATACTCTGCTGGGCCTGTTACCTTCTTTTATTTTCCTGACCATCAGTAAATATTTGTTCTTCTTCCTCCGCTGTTCTTTTCTTCCTCTCTTTGAGGGCACTCAGTACAGTCTCCTTTGCACATGGGTCCGGAGCATTACTTGATGGTGAGGACAGTGCTGAGCTGATTAACTGCTCTGGTCTGCAATGAAAGACAAGAGTCTGGCATTAAGATATTTTAATTACCATATTACACAACACAGACTTCAGTCACTGAAAATCAGAAGCTAACCAACGAGCAAAAGTGTAATTTTTGCATTCACAGAAAATGTCCTTAGCAATAAAAGCTACAGTTTAAGGCAAAACAAACAAAAAACAAAACCACGGTTCAATGACTACATTTGGGATTTCTCATTTAAATAAGCAAGTACTTTCTTTTTGTTTGTTTTATAGTTGTCTTGTCAAAGGAACGATCATAGAAAAATAAAGTAGAAACAAAAAAGAGTCTATTCTTCCAATAGTACTCACGCTGGAAAACGAGTCAATTTGCTATCGGGAGGAGCAATCCTCACTGTTACTGGGCTGCACACCATTTTGGAATTACGAGGAGATAGCACCGTCTTCTTGTGATAACCATTCCAGCACACTGTGGGAAGCACCCCCAGAAAGGAATACTGGGCCTGCTGGATTGGATATCGTCTTCGAGGTGTTATTAGAAACCGATCTGATACAGTCCCACAATCCCTGTGGAGAATGAGAGACATGTTATGGAACCAAAAAAGCTTAAAAGAACGTCTGAAAATTTAACTGACTAAAGAATCATGTGGGTTCAGCCATTTCCCAGAGAGCTTAAATCTCTAGGAAACACAGAACACAATATTTTTATGGCAACTTATATCCACTCCATTTAAGGGCAGAAAGTGGCAGCTGCATAACAGCTGTCCCTACAGTGGACTTCAAAAATTTGAAAGGGAAACTGAAAACCTTGCCCACACAAGAAAAACTACAATGGTGGAAAAGTGTGCATTAGGACACGCAGGGAGGAACTTTTCAAGAACCCTTCGATCTCTTACGCTAAGTCATCAGTAATATACGCCAAAAGTCAAACATTTTTAACACTTAAATGTTCATTTTCCCAACTAAATGTACTTATCAAGAACCTATATTTTCACCAAATTTTTGTATTTTGTCTGCTATTGGGACTAAATGAAAATGTCTCTTTAATCTGATCATCTTTACTAATCAAGTTCCACCAAAGGAAAGAAGTGTTTCCTGGGAACACCTCTTTGAACTCAGCTGATGAAATCTCTTACAAGTCCAAAGAAAAAAACAAAACATGCTATGTAACTGCACTCGAAAAATAAGTGATATTTTCATCAGAAAGACAGTTAACAAGTATTCTGCTAAATCTATGCTGTACTAAAACTCAAATAGCTTTAAGAATTGAAAGGTAGGGAATAGCTGTGGCCACATCTTATTCTAACGATTAAAGGGGGCAGAGGAGACGTCTGACATGCACCAACGTGTCTGAAGAGGACAAAACAACACAGAATCCACTTTGGACTTAATGAAAAAGTAAATGGAATTTAAAAGTCAAGTCCTCAATTCAAAGCTAGTCAATAGAGAGAGGACGGTCTGGGAAATATCTGCATATCTTACCTGTGGGAAGGCCTCCTGGAGGGTCGGAGAAGAGAAGTGGGGAGAGAGGGGTGAACGTGGTGAACGCGATGAGCCGAGTGAGCCGGCGGCGCGGTGCGGGGGGGCGGGCGGCGGCCAGGCCTCTCCCGCAGGTCTCTGGCCTCCAGAGCCGGCGCAGGCTGCGGGGGGCCGGGTTTGCCCAGGTAACTGCCCATGAGGAGCAGTTCAGCCGGGTCGGGTCCTTCGAGCAGGGTCCGCGGCTCTAGAAGGTTTCCGTTTACTGCCGACTTGGCCGGAGGCGAGGCGAGCAGTGTTCGCTGACGCCGCGCGTTCCGAACGAGCGTGGAAACAGCACGAGAACCTCGGGGCTCGCGGCTCAGTCCCCACCAGGCCGCGGTAGCCCCCACGGCCAGCCAGGCCAACGCAGCCGCTGCCGGCACCAGGTACAGCACGAGGCCGAGCAGCGACAGGCCGAGGAGTGTCACCCCGCCGCCGCTCCAGCCCCGGCCGTCCCTGACGCTCGCTATCGGCCGCCGCCGCTCGCCTCCTCCGGGCGCCGCAGCCGCCGGAGACATCGCGGCTCCGCGCCGCGGAGAAGACTTAAATATCCCAGCGTGCACCGCGCCCTGCGTCACCGGGCGCCGGCTGCGTCACTGCGCACGCGACTTGGACGCGCAACTGCGAGGGGAATCGCTACTGCCTGGCAACGCGATAGACTCTACCCAATTCGGAAAATGCGACCTCCCTGGAAACCGAGTTCTGATTCTTGAGGCCGCCTACGTGTCCACCTGCACAGGACCCATCCAGAGGTGAGCCTGTGAAGAATCTGGTTAAAAATAAAAGCTCCATAAAGCGACTACTCGCGTGATGCTTATCTTCTAGGGGACTAAACTCTCCCGAAGAGATTATCAGGCACTTTTCACAATTGCTACCAGAAGTTATGAGGTTTTTCCAGTTACCCTGTTTTCTGCCCAAGTACAGACCGATAAAAGAGGTTTACTTAAACAACAACAATGAAGGCAAAACCAACCCAAACCAACCCCACCTGTTAAATGTGGATCTAGTTCTAATAAATTCCCAGTCTAATAAATTGCAGATGAAACCTGGGGCTGCAATGTAAGTTTGAGTTTCTGCAGTACCAGTTGATAAAATGGGACAATTATTTACCAAATTCTACATCTTGGTCCAGAATCGACTTTGATGATTTGTGACCAATTTTCCTATGTTAAATTTGCTGGTCTGAGAAAGAAGATTAATAGTTGTGTAGGGCTGGGGAGTGTGTTGGGGATTGGGAAATGGAGAGCAACTGCTTAAGGGTAGTTTCCTATTGGGGAACAAAAATGTTTTAGAATTAGATTATGCTGATTGCTTCACAACCCTGTGAACTGTATGTTAATAAAACTTTTAAAAAAACAAAGTTGGTCTGCCAATTCAGACCTTGGCCTAGCTTAGCTTCCTTGGCCATTCATTCGTTGAATTAGTCATTCCATTATTGATAAACATTAAAGACACTAATGAAGGAAAGGCAGGTTCTCTGATTTCTAGAAGGCCACAGTTTAATAGGGAAGAAATATATTAATGGAAACTTACAATTCAGTGTAGTAAGTGTGATAGTAGAGGCACAAAATGAGAAGAAATGATAAAGGGAAAGATGGGCTGAGAGGTCGTACTTGAGCTGAGGAGAAGTGGTGAAAGCTGACTCAGGCAGATGAAGGAGCATTGTGCAGCAGCTGCAAAGAAATGGGAAATGGTATGATACAAGAGTCTCCAAATAGTCCAATATGTCTGTAGATTAGGATGTTTGGGGAAATAGGGAGATTGGAAAGATAGGCAGGGCTCAGTAAAGATGTCTCTGGAGCAACATGGAAAGATAAAAAAAGCAAGCAATTCTCTTCTCCTACTCATTGCCAGGGCAATTCCGCCATCTATCTGTTTAATGTATTGTGACATTTCACATAAGTCTTCATTTGAAAAGAAAGGGGGATGGGCTGTGTTGCTGAAGAAAAAAATCATCAGTATCAGTGAGACAAAAGCCAAAGCTGCAATAGGTTAAACAGTGAATGGAAGATGAGGAAATGGAGGCAGTGACTGCAGACATCCCATTCAAGAAACTTGGATAATAAAGGAGGAATAAAGCTCTAACTCAGTTAAGATCCTTTGAATTATCATGTATTACTGGAGTTCAGAGGAGCTAGATGTAAAAGCCATCAGTGTACAGATGCCAGGAGACTTACGTACGATTACTTGGGAATTAATGTAGAGACTTCCTAGGCCTGAGCCCTGGGGCACCCCTGTGTTTAGAGGTCAAAGAAATGGACACAAAAAAGCATAAATCATTCAGTAAAATATAGATAAATGACTACATTAAAATTTAATATTTCTATATGGAAAAACAACATAGGCAGCTAAAATACAAGCCAAGATTGGAAAAGAACAATTCTAACTCACATAACCAAAAAAGGATAGTAACTAGGAATTTATAAGGAATTCCTAAGAATCAATAACAAAAAGCTGACCCAACTGTAAAAAAAGGACAAGTGATATAAAAATGCATTTTACTGACTAGGAAACTCAAATAGCCAATAGTAAATATGTACATGTGTAAATATATATGTATATATATGTGTATATATATGCACATACACATACATATGTATATTTAACCTCACTAGTAATCTGGGAAAGGTTTACTGCATTAACAAGATATCATTTTGCATTCACTTGCACAAGCAGAAAAATTTAATAGTTCAACATATCAAATTTTGGCAAAGACATGGAACAAATGGAACTCATATGCTGTTTGTGGAACAGTATAATCTGGAGAGTAATTTGGCAGTATCTAATAAGTCTGAATAAATATGTATAACACTGCAATTCCATGTCTGGGTACAGAGTTAGTCCTTACAGCATCATTTGTATGACTGATAATTTAAACACACCTAAATAATGTCTACCAACACAAGAATGAATGAATACTGTTATAATTCATATAATAAAATACTCTAAAAGCGGATGAAAACTAACCTTTCTAGCCATGATTAAGTGATACCAGACTAGTCCTTCTACCACAAACAACTATAAAAATGGACAAAATTTATGAATTTTTGAACTACTTTTAGGCAGAGGAAAACAGGAAGCACAAGACTGATCCCTGAAAGGTAACTCATGAGGTGAACCCCCAAATCGCCTAGACCCTCTACCTGAGGACAAGTTCCCAATTAGGGCAGAGACCTAGAGTCTGAGTAGAGTAGGGTGATCACATTAGGCTGAGGAGGCAGAGATCAGACTTCAAGACAGCTGAAATGGCTGGAAATCATTGGGCAGATCAAGGGAAACGAGGGGTGTCATGCAGACAGGGTGTTCCAAAAGTCTATGTGTGAGTACCCCACAGATCTGTAGCTGAAGGATGGTATGATGGTTCATTTTATGCCTCAACTTGACTGGGCCATGGGGTGCCCAGATATTTAGTTAAACATTATTTTGGAGTACGTCTATGAGAGTGTTTCTGGATGAGATTAACATTGGTATTGGTAGACTCAGTAAAGAAGACTGCCCTTTCCACAGTGGGTGGGCCTCAACTAATCTGTTGAAGGCCTGAATAGAACAAAAAGGCTGAGTAAGAATTCTTTCTGCCTGGTTGTCTTTGAGCTAGGACATTGGTCTTCTATTGTTTTCAGATTTGGACTGATACTCACACTACTGGCTCTTCTGCTTTTTAAGCCTTCGGCCTTGGACTGGAATTACACTATTGGCTCTCCTGGGTCTCCAGCTTCCTGACTACAGATCTTGGGACTTCTCAGCCTCCACGAGTGCATGAGCCAATTTCTAAT